TTCCAACACATAGGACCTTTCGAGATCCTCGCTAGGACCGGTTCCGTAACCTATAAACTCCGACTACCTCAAGAACTTGGCAACATCCATTCTGTATTCCACGTCTCAAATCTTAAAAAGTGTCCATCCGATGAAACCCTCGTGATCCCTCTTGATGAAATCAAGATCAATGAAAATCTGAACTTTGTGGAAGAACCAATCAAAATCATGGATCGAGAAATCAAACGTACGAAACAAAGCCGCATCCCGATAGTGAAGGTTCGCTGGAATGCCAAGTGGGGACCCGAATTCACTTGGGAGCGCAAAGACTCGATGAAGCAGATTTATCCACATCTCTTTTCAAATCCATGATTTGTATCTTAATTCTAAATTTCGGGACGAAATTCTCTCTAACGGGGGGATGATGTGACAACCTGAAATTTATTTCGTCACTTTAACCGATTTCCGTTAATAAAACTCGTTTTTATTAAATTTTCCGATAACTTTTGGATTAGGTTAATTAAATTGGCACTTTTATTACGACTTCATAAGTGTCCAAGCGAGATAAAAATACGTGAAACATCCTCGATATCCCTTTGAAAAGTTTTTAGTTTACAACCGAGTCGGGTTACGAACATTTAATCGGGTACGACCATAAGCTCCGTTTAATGTCGGTATCGGGTAGATTTCCACCGGGCCGCAAACTCAACCCATATATAAGGGATTGAGTGGTCACATTTGAAGCTTTTCCACCCTCTTAACACCCTCTCTCTCTCTAATCTCTCCCTACAAGTGATTTTGATCTAAAAACACCTCTTTCAAGCTCCAAACTCGTAAGTGATCTATCCTGGCTTGTTGTTTAGCTTATTTTGCATGCAAATCCGTGTTTAAATCATCCAAAAGTCTCAAAATCATCATGTGTTTACGACCTAAGAACACTCCAAAACCGCAAACACCCATAAGTGGGGTTTTGAAGCCCCAAAACCCTTCCAAATCCCTTCTAGTGCTTAGCTATGGCTTAAGGACTTGCACGTATGAGATTAGAACCCCAAAATCATATCATTAGGGGAGTAAACATGAGTTTACGGCCCAAGTACATTCTTGGATCGTAAACCCCTCTTAATAGGTCGTAAACACCTTTTAAGGTGTTAAATTGCCCTTTAAACACCTCCTATGGCTTGGATTAATGTGTAGAACCAACCACCATTGAAGCAGGGACCTTAAACATCAAAGAAACCATGACCTTAAGAGATTACGGCCGTAAACCCCCCCCCCCCAAGGATTGGTCCCTTAGCCGTAATCTCCCTTAAGGAGGTCCAATGGTGCCCTAAGTTCCCTTCATGGCTTGTATACTAGACTAGAAACATGTGTGCTTAACCTAGAACCATCAAAACATGAAATGAAGGGGGAAGTAAGAGTTTACGGATTTAAACTCTATGTTTACACCCGTGAACTCCCCTAAGTGGTCCAATTGAAGCCCTAGTCTCCTCCTATGCCCTTGAATCAACCCTAGAACCTTCCCTTGTACAATATAAGACCTTTAAACATCCAAAAACACTCCACCCATGCGTTTACGGCTGTAAACTCATGGGGATATGGTCATTGGGCCGAAATCTCCCCTAAGAGTTTACTCTTGAAGAGTAAACTCCATAACTAGGCCATACACCCCCTTAGATGCAACCCGTATCATTCCTAACACTTGAGATAAAGTGTTTTCATGCATCGGAGTGTATTATCTTACTTAATTAGTGGTTCGATGTCTAATTAGATACAATTATGTATCACTTCAGGTTACATAGGATCCTCGCGCGTGTTCAAGCCCTAAATTGACACTTAGCATCCTACCTGGCACATTCTCGTCTGGTGAGTTCATACCCCTACACCATTTTTCATGTTTTTCATGTTTTTTTTTTGGGGGGGGGGGGGGGGGGGGATACAAGCAAAAGTACAAGGAAACTTGTACTCAAAACTTATTATTTTGGATGTTATAGTTACATGTTCAGTATACTTTTAACACTGAAAACCGTATTAACCAACCATTTAACTTGCAGAGTTAGTTTGCAAACTAATTGTGAAACTCATTATAAAATGGTATATTTTATATTTCACAAAGGATTTCATGTCATTCATAAAACATGATTTTTCCGTATTATTACTTGTAAATTCGTTATTCTTAAGATTGGAGACACGTCCTCAGTAACACTCCACAGAGATACGCGAGTGGAGGACCGCCCTTGTAACCAGAATCTCTTGTAGAGAGAACATGACTTGAGTGTATAGATCTATACGGGGCTGACTACCCCGCACCTTGCTGCTAGCTATAGTGGGACCGACAGGTCTACGGGTGACAAAAGTCATAAAGTGATACTCACCTTCTTATTTTCCATATCTAGTTTATCGTATGGTTATAGAACTTGCAAACTTAGATAATGGAGATTTACTTTTAAGTAATAATGAACTTAGTGAATTACCCTTAGGAATTAGTTTACTACTTACTTATTAGTTTTATTATACGTGTTAAAACTAATGTACTTTTCAAGGATAACCAGGCTTTCAGGAAACTTCACTTAACATTAAAAGTATAGTAGATACTTGTACACTTCATTCCGGATCGATAACCAACCGCCAACTTTTAAGAAAAATAAGGGTTTTTCCTAGGATAACTTAACTTTTCATAAACAGACTGTTTAACTAATGGATAACTAAACTCCTTTTATAAGAAATTATGAGATTTTCTTGGATAACAACTTTTCATAAAACCAAAGGAAACTTATTCTTTTACCAGAAACAAACCGCTTATGAACTCACCAGCTTTATGTTGATATTTTTAAAACTGCTTGTATTCTTAGGATTTCATTAAATAGATATCCAACGTTCTTTTGGAGAAGACAGAGCGTTAAGAAGTCTCGTCTTTACTTTTGTTATACTGGTGTATATATAAAACGTGTATTAGTTTGCATTCAAACAAATGTAAATATTCCTATGTAATGTAATGGTTGTGTTTACTATGTTTGCTATGTACATTGGTTGTGATACTTTACATGACGTCCTCCGCCCCGGAACATTTCCGTCATCGGTTTCGGGGTGTGACAGATTTGCCTTTTGGAGCTTGTAGGGCCATGCATGCACGTAAAGTTTGCAACTTTACCTGATAAGCATGCCCTAGGAATATATATATATATATATATATATATATATATGGGTTTGAAGCGTTGCATGTCTCAGATTTAGTCTATATGGGAAATGGGTCAATGGACTCGGCGAGTCCCAAAGTGGAACTCGGCGAGTACTATGAAGATGGCCTTAGACTCGGCGAGTCCTATGAAGATTGCCTGGTATTCGATGAGTTGTTCTTCAAACTCGGCAAGTCAGATGAACTGTTACTGAGTAAGAGGGGTCTAGGTGGTGAAGGTCCAACTCTTCGTATCTGCACGTGTAATTAGCAATTTAACGTGTAACAATGGTACCAGAAACCAAAATCCTCATAAAGGATGCTCTAGTGAGGATTTGGAAGCGAGTAGGAGATCTGCTCGTATGGACTCGTCGAGTTGTTCTTGGACTCGGTGAGTCGGATCGCGAGCCGGTTCTATCATCCCGAGTAGTGAGTTAAGGGTGACTCAGTGAGTGGGATGAGGGACTTGTAGAGTAGGACCGGGTTAGTGGGAGAAGAACTCGGCGAGTCGGTGCCATGACTCGGTGAGTCCAGTCAACTGGAAGTTGACTTTGACCAAGGAGTTGACCTTGGACCAGGGGTGGGTCAGTCATCTAACCTAAGGGTGTGTATGAGTGGCTAATATATGTTTATGATTTATAGCTGAAGGATTACCGATTCAGCAGTCAGGCGCTTAGCAAGCAGACTTTCAATAGCTACTTTTCGTGGTGAGTTACCTTCCAGTAGCGGTGGGTCTAAGGCCACATTGCCGGCCCACCAGTAGGAGACGTATGATAGATGATTGTCTTTGTGATATCATCTAGGTTTGTTACTACCTGATATGCTATATGCTAGCATGATATGTTGTATGTGATAGCAGTAGAGTTCGGTTGTTAGGACCGAAGGGTAGTTCAGGCACCTGAGATACGTCTGATAATATGTTTATGTTATGTTATATGTGATACTAGTAGTAGGGGGTGAAATAGTCCTCGAGGTTCGGTTGTTAGGACCGAAGGGTAGTCAGGACCCCAGAATGGCTCGACATGGGTAGGTCGGCACCCCAGAATGGCCGTATCGGGTAGGTCGGGCACCCCAGAAATGCCTAGCAGTATGTATGTGATATGATTGTATGGTATGTGGTACGATGGGGGGACTCATTAAGCTTCGTGCTTATAGTTTTTAGTTTTGGTTTCAGGTACCTCTTTAGCGAAAGGGAAGGAGTTGGCGCGGTAGCGACACATCATACACACACATTGGATTTCCGCATTATGAGATGTTCTGGGATTGTACTCTGACATTATTATTATTTTCATGTTTTGGGTTTTCAGAAGCGAGATATGTTTTACGAAATTATATGATCGGATGATGTTTTACTACAATTGTTTTACAAACCACTTATTTTAAATGAAATTTTTGGACGTGAAAATTGGATCGTTACAATTATAGTCTATCATGTTTTATATTATTTTCAATTTTAATCTTTTATGTTTTTAAATTTAACTAGATGCATGCCCCCGCTACGCGGGGGTCAGATGGTGTGCATATCGTTACTCTTAATGGAAAACAAACCGTGTATGCTGTATAACCTTTTAAGCGGGGAAGAAGTAGATGTTAAAAGGTGAAATTTAGAGTATTAGAATGGCAATTTTTTTTGGAAGAACCTATTGATCGATGTCATTTTGTTAAATGTTTTCTTTTTAGTAATGTGATTTGTAAAATGTAGACGAACAGGAGATGTAAAAAAAAGGTAGATAACAACTTAGACAAAGTTTTCATACGTAGGGGTGATGTTGGTATTGTTAGGTTACAAAAGATGGTGATATTAGGTTAGATAATATAAAGTTTGTTATCTATTTGAGCACCAAATCTTTTATTTCTTTATCTGGTTATCACTGTCTTTTGGGGTAGCACCTGCCAGATGTTGAACCAGTATTAATAGACTGCATTTGGAAAATTTTGTTTGATATGTTAATTAAATGTATGGCAGCATTTATATACCTACAAGGTCATAAGTTAGAGGACGTGCAACATTTTGATTGTTTGTAGATGATCCCGGTGATGTATTGTTTTGTCGTACCCTTGTCGTTTTGGTTGGAGTTGGTGTTGTTGGAATTGATGTGTCGGACATTCTTGTTTGTGGGTCATGGTCAATTATTATGAACCGTATGTTTTCTGACGTTGAAGCTCTTATCATTTGGATGGACATTGTTTTTGTATTTCCTCTCTCGTTAGTTATGTTTATGGGCAGGACGTTTGGATTCGTCATTGGGTTCTCGGATATGAATTTGTCAAGATTTGATCCGAGTAGTTTGCGACACGATGTTTCTGACATGGCTGCTTGTATGGAGTCTGTTGCATCAGTGATGATAACAGACAATTTGTATCTGTGTACAACAGATATTTGTCAGCATTGCAGTGGTATAATCAGTATATGTGTTAAATTTTTGTTAAAGATGATTACATGTAGTTTGGTTTGTCGATATGTCCATGTGCGCTACAAAACCAATTTTCGCCCCTTCTGAAAATGGGATCTTTGCATATTGTGCATGTTGTCTGGTACCAACTATTTTGGAAGAGAATGTCTTTGATTGATGCGCACACCAGAAGTGTCTTATCCTGTCGTCGTAAAGTTATTCGAAATAAATCTATGGAGTTATTGTTGTTTATAAAAGGAGTTACCAATGAAGAAATGTTACCAACAGTTCAGATCTGGTTTTCTTTCTCATGTCACCTAGAGTAGACGGTGTGCCTGCTAGTGGTGGCATTGGTCTTAAGGCACCTGTGTATCTGACAGCATGTTGTTATTAGTATACAGTTGTTAATTTACTGGACATGATGTGTAATGTTTGTATGGGTGCCTTACAGGTTTATAAGCGATGTTGTTTCTGGTATGTCTGGGTTGACATAGACATGGGTAGCATGTGATGAACCGTGACGCAGAGCCCCTATATATAAATAATTTACGTGTTACAAATGTTTGTGGTGAATACATTACAACTGTGAATAGTGTGTGTATGATGTTGTGTATGGAGATCAGACCGTTAGATATGGAAGGCTTTAAGTTGGTGACAGCGACAACTGTTGTTGTTGGCGGTGGCTGCAAGGAGTTGCGATTGAATTTCTGTGGATTGGTTATGCACTCTTTCCATAAATTGATCGCGAGTTCACTACCACTAATGGTATTGATAATGTGTTTTGTATTAGGTCGGTGTAAGGGAAGTCGAAAATAAATTTTGTTACATGAAATATGTACCTTTCATCAGTTAAAATCAGCAATACGTATGACTCACCACCCACTTTCACGCAGTCTCTGATTTTTGAGAGGACACCAATGTAGTCTAAGGAAAATTAAATTTAATTGTGTTAGGGGTGTGCATTTGATGAGGTGGGAAAGGATGTACGTACCTAGGTAATAAGATGGTGTGTCTCCAAGGTCTATGAGTTGTCGCTTTGAGAGAAAGTGAAACCAGTTTTTCGGTATTGTCAGTGTGTCCGGAATCTGTTCTATCACAGACATAAGGCCGACATCAATATAAAAGTCATTTTGTAGGAATTTCTGATACTTGTCTAACATGGGGCAGCTATAATCCGAGATGGTATAGCAGTGCGAAAGGTTGAGAATAGATTCGATGTAGCTCTGGTTAGTTCGTTGACCAAGAATCTGTATGGCATCACCCTTTTGACAAAAGAAAAATGATATAATGTAAGGCTTTGTATATGGTATTTGAATGGTATGTTTAATGTAGAAATTGATACATAGTTGTTGAAAAATTGTATTTGAAGATGACTTACAAATCTGTCGACAGCCAGATACCAGGTTTCATAGCGCCTTACGTCGTGTCTCCATTTACGTACTATTCTAACTTGTAATGGGCCTCCAATACCATCCGTCTTTAGCTCAGAAATGCTACTCATTGGTCGGCTGTATTTTGTATGTCGAATAAACATATCAAAATGAGTGTCATGTTCGGATATACATGTAGGATATGCTGCAACCATACAGTACAGGTATGTAAAAATAAATATAATTAAAGATACATATAATAAAAGTATAAGAAAATTTTAGATAATGTTTTATGAACAATATAAGAAGGTTTGAAACTTGTCACTCAGTAAACAAAAAATAAAATAAAATAAAATAAAGACATATATTTAGATAGCGCTCTATGAAAGGTATGATAATGTTGGAAAGGGGATTGGCAGTGATACTGTGGACCTGAGGTGAATTAACTTTCTCTAATAGATCTCTGAAAACAACATTTTTTGTTTGATTCAGGTGAATTGGGTTTGTATTTTCTATCAATATTTTTATGGAATCTGGTGATGTTGCTCGTGACAGGGCAACATAGAGTTGACCGTGCGAGAAAACAGGTTGTGCTAAATATACACCAATTCTACGTAGTGACTGTCCTTGGCTTTTGTTGATAGTCATCACGTAGCAGACTTTCAGTGGAAATTGTTTTCGTGAGAAAGTAAATGGCATATCTGTTGACTTATGTATAAACTTTATACGGGGGATGTAAACGCGCTTGCCAATGAAGGTGCCAGTCATGATTGTTGCTTCAATTATGTTTGTTAGCAACTGCGACACTATAAGTCGTGTACCATTACATAAACCTTCTCTTTGGTTTATGTTTCTTAGCAACATTATGGGACAATGGAGTTTTAGTGTAAGTTCGTGAGGTGGTATTCCAGGGAAATTGAGTTGGTTTAGGTATTCGGTTGGATACAGGCCCTCAAAATCCGATGTACGCTTGCCGATTGGTTGGATAATGTCTATACTCTTATAGGTTCCCTCCTCCGATGACACCATCCCCAAAACCGTTGTATTTATGTTGTCTGCAACATCATTTGTCGGCGTAACTATAGCTCTTGCCGAAAGGTCAACCGCAGTCGGATTATTAAGGACACCATCTCCATATACAAAATTTATTAATGAATTTAGGGAGTCATTTCCGGGTTTTATTAGAAAAGAGTCAGGGATTTCTAACCAACTTGTGTCCCGAGGGTCGTCATTGTCAGGCATCCCCATCTGTCCATTTCCAATACGAAGCAACCAACCTGTGAAAGCCGACGTGGACGTTGAACAACTGGTGGGTCTTTCAGAAGAATTAACTCTCATGTTCGTGTGTAGGATGTGAACAGTGAAAGACCCCCACAGGTATGAACATGGAAGTGTTAAGGCTATGATTTCTGAACGTGTTGATCTTGGTAGGACTGGGAGGGTTTGTCGGAAATCACCACCTAGTAGAACTGATATGCCTCCAAACAACTTTTCATTACAATCTAAGACATCTCTAAGAGAGCGGTCAAGAAACTCAAAGCATCTTCTGTCACTCATTGGTGCCTCATCCCAAATGATGAGTGATGTACGCTGTAAAAGATCGGCAAGGGATGTTCTCTTTTTTATGTCACATGATTTCTTATCTGTTAGGTCAATAGGAATTTTGAACCTTGAATGCGCCGTTTTCCCAGAAGGTAATAAAAGGGACGCGATTCCAGAAGCAGCAACGGCCAGCACAATTTTCCCTTTGGATCTAATATGGGAGATAATTGTTCTCCAAAGGAAGGTTTTTCCAGTACCCCCATGTCCATATACAAAGACCAGTATTTGTTCATTGTTTTCAATTGAAGAGATGACAGAATTGTAAACTGACAACTGTTCAGAATTTAGCATTGGCAGCATATTATCATGTTCTCTTTGTAGAGCTTCTTTGTCGTAACTCATTTCTTCAAGTAGAAGACGATTCTACAAAATACCATGTATATCATTTGAAGGGACTGGAAGACCAAATGCCGCCATTGACTTAGGTGGTACGGAAGAGCGTAAGGTGTGATCGAGATCGCTGAGCAGTTGTTGATGTACTATGTCTGCAACAGAATTAAGTCCCCTATCTGGCATTTCTCTTTTTATGGAATATAGGTAGTCATCTTTCATCTTATCGCATGCGCATTCCCAAAGCAATTGTGGACTGCTAACTTCGCAAAAAAGCAATAGTTGACAGAAAAGGGAACGAAGTTGTGCAGAGGTCACCCATATTGATGCCTCTGTGAATGCAGATAACCATTCCGTATCATCACCAATCAATTTTAATGCATTGCATGCAGCCCTATACGTAGGATAAATGGTGCCAGAAACGGTCCGCAGGTCTTTAAAAGATGTGCAACCCTTTTGGTGACAGAGTAGCATTCGTAGGTAAAATAACTCGCCAGATGTTGGATGAACAAAGACAAGTCGGCCAAGCACCTTTGAGGAGTCATCAACTCTAGGCTCCCAGGATTTAGATGACTTGTCCCATTTGTAAGACTTTGGATATTCTAGATATGTAAGTTCATGTCCACTTGGATCCCTCCTGTTGTTGCGAAACCAGCCTAGAAGTGTGGTGACAGAGCTGAATGGGTTTGACAGCACTTGAGGTATTGTGCTGTCCTCCTTGAATAATAATTGCTGCATGTTCTGCTCATGTACAGACAGGATCTGAACTGGCGGGTACCGATGATGTATGTGAAAGTTTAGGATACGCCAAGCTGCTTCGTGGGGACAGATATAGCGACCATCTAGAAAATTCTGCACCTCGTTCACAGGAGTAACCGCTGAACCTCCATGTGTGTTATGATGGCTATCCACTGTGACGGAAGCGGACGCGCGGGGCGATTCTGCCTTTTGGATTGCATATCTGACGCGGTCTGCCCCTTTAGAAATATATTTAAAGAGATATTTAATCATCATATTCCATCCGCAGTACTCGACGTTGATGTGTGCCTGAAATCGTGAGGAAAGCCTTCTGTTGTACGGAACAACGTATCCGTTATCTATAACCTGTCCGGATAGGGTCATATGGTGTGAATTTGGGTTTCGTTTATACCGAACGTATCCTTCAGTTTCGAACAATGTAGCATGAAGAAAAGGTTTAGGATAACCTTTACTACATTTACCGTCCTTCATACACTGAGCTTTTGGATTTAGTGGTCCACATGGTCCATGAATCATGCAGCTTGTGATTGTCTGATATAGTGTCGGATCTGTTGTTGGATCTGGCATCTCAGCTGTTATGTACATGTCGACATCCGATGCGTTTTTTATTCGGTCAGCTGCCTTTACCCACAGCAAAGTATGACAGTGCGCTAGACCCCTTTTTTGGAATTCGATAGTATATAAATCTACAATAATGACGAATTTGTCTGATGTTAGTTTTTTCAAATATAAGGATCACATAGGACCGCTTGGAAAGGCATGAATAATAAAATTCTATTTACATAACTATGAAAGTCGTAAGAAGAACTGTAATGTCGTTTTACATATTAATGCAATTAGATGACAGGACTTAGGATATAAAATTGTCAGATGTGATAGGGAAATATATGAAAATGAAAATAAAGTGAAAGTCAATGACAGAGTAGTAAAACAGCTAACGTATAAAATTAAAAAAAAAAACGCAATAGATATTAAATTAGAATACGGAACGATAAAAAGAAAAGATCTACAAATAAAGGGAAAATTTTAATTTTTGAAAGACTGATGTTTAGGTACAGGTAAATTTAAAAACATAAACCTGAATGGAACAAAAAGGTTATAGATAATTTTTGGTAGTGTATCCATGTAAGAGTGAAGTATGCGGTGATTAAGGCAAATGGTGGCAAAAGATAATGATAAAAAACCTGGTAAAATTTATATAGTTGTATACTTTGTTAGAATGGCAAAAGAGGAAATAATCAAGATTTGGCAAATAAGTCATTTAAATGGAAGATGTTATGTTTTTGAGAGAGTTAAAAAAGGGAGAAAACAACGATAAACCATAAGCTTAAAAAAATAATGGGTTATAACTATGATATTAGATTTAAATAAGTTTTTTGTTATAGTCTATATACAGTAAAACAGTTAAGAATTACAAAGGTTATACAAAAGTAAGGAAAATAACACTTGCACAAATGATGAAAGTAAACAGTGTGGAAAATCAGCAAATAATTAAAATTGTTATCATATTTCATTTCAATAAATAAATCTGTTAAATGTGCATACAATATAACACTTAAAATAGGAGCAAAAGAAGAAATGGTAAGAAATTTATAAAAAAACTTAATAATACAAATGTATAATTAACCAATTTCACACAGAGTGAAATCATAAAAAGAGAAATAGGACATTAGTATTTGGATAATTACCTGCAATACCAGGTTATATAGCAGGGTAGAATGGAAAAATAAATAACATAGTTGATGTGGTTAAATTTGTTGTAAGAATGCATATAAAACAAAACAGATAGCATAGAGGGAAAAGTGGAATTAATATAAATTTTACTGACTTAAATCAGAAAAAGGCAAATAGGATATTAGTATTTTGATAAGTAGCTGCAATATCAGTTTACATAGCAGGGGTAAAAACGGAAAATAAATAACGTATCTGATGCGGTTAAAACAGTTGTACACATGCATATAAAACAATACAGATAGGACAGGTACAAAACCGGAATTAATATAAATTTAGTAAAAGACTTAGAAATAACGAAGGTATTCACTTCCAGAAGCAACACATTCGATAGACAGAAAAATGAAGAAGTAACATGGAAAAGGACATAAGTTAATTAGCTGCAATATCAGATCACATAGCAGGGGTAAAATGGGAAACTAAATAACATATCTGATGCGGTTAAAACAGTTGTAGGGATGCATATAAAACAAAACAGATAGCATAGGGACGAAACTGGAAGTAGTATAAATTTAGTAAAGGACTTAGAAATAAAGAATAGCACAGGGGCAAAAGTGGAATTAATATAAATTTGGTAAAAGACTTAGAAATAACGAAGGCATTCATTTCCGGAAGCAAAACATTGGATAGGCGGACAAATGAAGAAGTAACATGGAAAAGGACATAAGTTAATTAGCTGCAATATCAGATCACATAGCGGGGGTATAATGGGAAACTAAATAACATACCTGATGCAGTTAAAGCAGTTGTAGGAATGCATATAAAACAAAACAGATAGCATAGGGACAAAAGTGGAACTAATATAAATTTAGTAAAAGACTTAGAAATAAAGAATAGCACAGGGCGAAAACCGGAATTAATATAAATTTAGTAAAAGACTTGGAAATAACAAAGGTATTCATTTCCTGAAGCAACGGATTGGATAGGTGGAGAAATGAAGAAGTAACATGGAAAAGGACATAAGTTAATTAGCTGCAATATCAGATCACATAGCAGGGGTAAAATGGGAAACAAAATAACATATCTGATGCGGTTAAAGCAGTTGTAGGGATGCATATAAAACAAAACAGATAGCACAGGGACCATACTGGAAGTAATATAAATTTAGTAAAAGACTTATAAATAAAGAAGGTATTAACTTCCACAACCAACATATTGGATAGGCAGACAAATAAAGCAGTAACATGGAAAAGGACATAAGTCTGTAAACTTTTGGTTGTTATTGACCTTTATACACTGTGGGTAACATTTGATACAAACGATCATTAGGCTAGCAGATATAGAAAAAGAAATGTAAACGTACATGCATCAACATCGCCAAAGGTTTTGTCCTTCTTAAGGAAATCGATAAACTCATGGACTTTCACATGGAACATTCTGGCTATGATATCCGCTCTGCTGTGTACATCTCTCTGTGAATGTGTGTCCATATAGCGGGTAATCTCTGGCCACTTCACATTACATGTGAAAGTGATAAAATATTGTGGATTGCCATAAACTCTACAGATCGTAAGCGCATCCTGATAATGGCTATACATAAACCGGGGACCACCAGTGAATGATGCGGGCAAAAAGACACGCTTACCAACAACACGTGCTTCCCGGTCCCCCTTTGATAGCGCATCATAAAGCCCACTCACATAATCGGAACGTAAGTTTGATTGATGTTTGGTTATATAATCCAATCGGCCTTCCTCTATACACGTATATGCATCAACTAAATATTGTTGGAAAAGCCTAGTGGCATTTACAATTGGAGACCAAATCTGATGTCGGGCATGTATATGGTACGCGTAATACATATTGACAGTGAGACTTTTTGCACTTACTCCCCTCTGATTACGCATCTTCAAACGGGGTGACCACCCCTCCTCACCGTAAGGAAACAAAAGTGGATATTGTAAAGGCATATAAGAGGGATGCAATTTACTAATGCGTTGAGGCCGACCCGAATGCGAAAATACAACAATGTCATATGTCATACTGGTAGTGTCATCACCAGTTACTATACATCCCAAGGATCCAGGGGAAGGGAATTCATACCTACGATCAACAACGTTGTTAAACAGCCGTACACTATAATTTTCTAAATTATTTTCCTCAACCATGGTCTTTGCTGTTTTAAACGTTTTTACATACTCGTTGTTAGCCCCTAAGAATGTAACCAGATACTGCACAATATTAGGATCTAAATCCGTTCCCGTCGGACCTCCAAAAGCCCTCAATCTATTCTGAACCTCATTCTCTGTATCAAAAAGATAAAGCTGCAGAAATCTAGGGCCCTTTGTAGGATCCGGGGACAACGATCCTATCCTATGACAAATTTGACCTATCTTGAAAACATAAGGGCCCCGATTGTCATTGACAGACTTATCTATATTCGCCCCAAATGAAGTCATAGAGAACATGCTATTATATGCGATAATGTCTTTCAAAAATGTAGCATTTTGATACAAATCGAGAAATTCAGGATGAAACCTCGAAGGATAAGGAAGAACGACATCACCATCCCGACAACAATGATAATACTTCGGATGAGCAGGCGTAGAAAGTTTGAGCGCCCTTTCAACATACCAGAAATAGGCGCCACAAAATTCGCAAACACACGTACAGTCACCCGAATCAACATAGTCAGGAAGGCCAGCAAAGAAGAGAGAATGGCGCGACCTGCGAGTTCTTGGAACAGAGGATGAAGCACCAGGTGAAGATAGCCGTTTCGGTCGACGGGCCATAATAAATCGATCGAAAAAAAAGTGACAAAAAAAACTCAGAAAACAACTGAAAGACAACAGAGACGAAAGAAGAAAGACAACAGAAGAGACGGAATTTACCTTTTGGAAGAAAGAAGTAAGAACAAAAAAGGAAGAACGGTGGAGAAGAAAGAAGAAAGAAATTAGGAAGCATAACACGTGGATCATAAAGGAAATGAGAAAAGGCAACGTAGAGAGAAGTCACCGGTAGACGTTAACAAAAGGAAAATGGATAAAATAAGGGAATAACAAACAAAAGTAAGTACCGGGATAAAACGAAGAATCTTACAAAAGAAAAGAAAAATAAAGAATAGACAAACTTCGAAAGTAGAAGGACTAAAAGTATCCTAAAGCACAACACATTACTGTAGATAAGAAACGAAAAATTTAATATATATGTATAATAATCAATCGTCCGTTAACAAGTTTTATAAATTTATGATTTTTTATTTTACATATTATTTATATTCTAATAAAGCATTGTTTATACATAATCTTTATCGTTTTACATTTACAATCCCTCATGTTTTACATTATTTTCAATTTTAATCTTTTATGTTTTTAAATTTAATAATTCATCATCCGTTATCAAGTTTTATATATTTATGATTCTTTATTTTACATATTATTTAAAGTCTATTAAAGCATTGTTTATATGTAATCTTTTTTCTTTTTATATTTGTAGTCACTCATGTTTTATATTATTTTTAATTTTAATCTTTTATATTGTTAAATTTAATACTTCATCATCCATTAAAAAGTTTTATATATTTATGATTCTCTATATCACATATTATTTATATTCAAATAAAACATGGTTTCTATGTAATCTCTTTCTTTTTACAATTATAGTTCCTCGGTGTTTTATATTATTTTCAATTTTTAATCTTTTATGTTTTTAAATTTAATAACTCATCATCCGCTAATAAGTTTAATATATTTATGATTCTCTATTGTACGTATTATTTATATTCTAATATAACATGGTTTATATGTAATCTTTTTCTTTTTATATTTATAGACGCTCAGTTTTAATCTTTTATGGTTTTAAATTTAATAATCCATCATCCGTTAACAAGTTTTATATATTTATGATTCAATAATTTACATATTATTTATATTCTAATAAACCATCATTTATATGTAATCTTTTTATTTTTACATTTATAGTCCCTCATGTTTTATATTATTTTCAATTTTAATCTTTTATGTTTTTAAATTTAATAATCCGTCATCTGTTAACAAGTTTTATATATTTACGATTCTCTATTTTACGTATTATTTATATTCTACTAAATAATCGTTTATATGTAATCCTTTTCTTTTTTACATTTATAGTCCCATTTCTTTTATATTATTCAATTTTAATATTTTATGTTTTTAAATTTAATACAACATCATCCGTTAACAAGTTTTATATATTTATCATGATTCTCTACTTTACATATTATTTAATAAATAACGGTTTATATGTAATCTTTTTATTTTTACATTTATGGTCCCTCTTGTCTTATATTATTTTCAATTTTAATCTTTGATGTTTGTAAAATTAATAATTCATCATCCCTTAACAAATTTTATATATTTATGATTCTCTATTTTACATATTATTTATCTTCTCATAAAGCTTAGTCCCTCACGTTTTATATTATTTTCAATTGTGATCTCTTATGTTTTTAAATTTAATAATCCATCATCCATTAACAAGTTTTATATATTTATAATTATCTTTTGTATATATTATTTATATTCTAATAAAGCTTGGCTTATATGTAATCGTTTTTTTTACATTTATAGTCTCTTATATTTTATATTATTATTAATTTTAATATTTAATGTTTTTGAAATCAATAATCCATATCTGTTAACAATCTTTGTATATTTATCATTCTTTATTTTACATATTATTTATATTCTAACAAAGCTTTGTTTATATGTAATATTTTTCTTTTTACACTTATAGTCCCTCATGTTTTATAATATTTTCAATTTTAATCTTTTACGTTTTTAAATTTAATAATGCATCATCGGTTAACAAGTTTTATGTATTTATGATTCTCTATTTTACATAATATTTATATTCTAATAAACCATCGTTTATTAGAAACTTTAATAAACGTTAAATATATAAAGTGAACAATATCTTTTCCATGAAGAATGATATATTTATTGGGATCAGCCGCCAAATATCACCTCCAACACCAATGTGTTTCTCTCCATCTAAGAAGTAACATCTCATATCGACTAACCGATCTAACTTGATATTCATATCCTGCTCCCGGGGTACAGTCCCTGAAACGGTTTTAACGACTATGCTCTGTGATCCTTAGATCTCCACCGCAGCAAAAGTCCAAGAGTGAAGTCAGAGGTCTATGTCACATCATATATATATATATATATATATATATATATATATATATATATATATATATATATATATATATATATATATATATTATATATATAAAGAAATCAATTTTACTCTGAATATGTTTACTTGAAACTCTTGTTTTTTCAACTTCAAATCTTATTTAAATTATTAAATATAATATATTATCATTTATATGGTAGATTATTTGAATTATTAATATAATATATTTAGTTTTTTTTATTTAAATATGATGTTAAATACATTAAATATTCAAAATTTTAAATTATCAATATAATACATTTAATTTGTTAATTTAATATGATATTAAACCTAAACATAAGTTTCAGTGGTCAAATATTTTTTAAATGGTTAAAATGTGTTAAATAAAACCTCAATCGAATTTCTAAATCAACTAAAATAATATTTAAAAGCTAATTTTTATAGAAATTGAATATTTTACAAAGTGATTTTGTAAAGTATTTTTTTTGGAACGACAGTATGTTTCAACGGAAGCCGTTCGTGTTATTTCAACGAAGACGTGGAGATAGAATCTTCCAATAGGGCATAGATGGCCCCATAGGGATTCCAAGGATAAATTCTTTACATGAGGAGATAAAATATGTTTATCAACTTTAAAAATGGCTTGTGGGAATCGAACTCCCAATCTTATATGGATATCAAACAAATGTCTCTTCCCAGCTAGGCTTGAATAATATTTTCTAATATTTTAACAAATTTTTTTAACATGCACAAATCAGAGGCATTCGCTAATTTATTATATAAATGATGCTTTAAACTAAATGTTCACATACAAAAGGTTCGGTTCATGTCTACACTCCTATTTTCTAGAGTTAGAAAAAAGTGATCCACCTCGCCAACTCAATCTGAACCCAACCCAAAATTAACAGGCTGAGTTTTGATTTTCAACTATGTTAAATGATTCAACCTGTCCAACCCATTTAATTAAATAGGTTGGGTTGGATAGAATTTATCGACCTATTTTCAACCTGCTAACCCTTTTAAATTTAATATATATTTTAGTTTATTTTATTAATATAAAATTACTCAATTAATATATGTATTATAATATGATATTTTTATCTATGTAAAAAAAGTATGCATTAGTATAGTTATAAGTTATTAACCTAATAAATTACAATGGGCTTATCAAATGGAGGTGTTTCACACAATACACACACATATATAAATATATGATTTTGATAATATATAAGTTTGAAAGAGTTTAATGAAAGAGTTTACATAAAAGGAGTTTTAATAATTTAAATAATAGATGACTTGATGTCAGTTTATGAAATGTTTTTAAAGAGTTTGTTTGGTAAACGGTTTTGAAGTATATATGAAATCCACTGTTTGTTAGTTATTAATCACCTGTGATTGATATTATAACTATAATGTTTTCAACTTGTATCCCCCCCTCTCATAAAATCGTTAAAAATCATTTAAAGGCAAATTAAGGGGAATGAACTCACCTACAGTGAGTGATACGAATGAAAGACCGGTTTGTAGGATGCTAAGGGTCAAGTGAAGACTTGAGCACAACGGATCCTAATAAGGATATAATGACACATATATGTATATAATTAGTGTTTAAACAACTAATAATGCAAGGAAAAACACCCCAGGACATAGGAAACACTTAGATTGATGTGCTAGAAGTACCAAGGGTTGCATATAATGGGTGTATGGCCATACATTGGTGTGTACGGTGTAAATCGGTGTGCAGCCGCAAACTCATGGTGAATCATGCCAATGAGTGATATAAAGTCTTATCAAGCATCTAGGAAGTGTGTTTTGACCAATGCATAGCATTAATGGAAGTTTATTACCATTTTGGACCTTAAAAGGGTGTGTACGGCCACACAAAGAGTGTACGGCCGTACACCCTTGATGATCATGTAAAAAGGGTAAAACGTGTATCACAAGTCTCTAACTTGGATCCATTAAGTCTTATTGATCATGTGCTAGCATAGAATCATGATTTTGAAGCCAAATAACACTAAACAAAGGGGTGTACGGCCACATGGGGTGTGTACGACCGTACACTCCTTGATGATCATGGTTTGGATGATTTCTAATGGTCTTAACTAGTAAGTAACAAGCACGAGGAGTGGTACTTACGATATAGAAGCCTTTAGGGGTGTTTGAGGTCCAAAAACCTAGTAGGTGTTCTTGGTGAACACTTGAAGATCTAATCAAAAGGATTAATTTCATGGATGGAGTCATGAATCCTTACTATATTGTGTAATGAATCAACAAAACAAAGGAAGAAACACTTACAACTTGAAGATCTAGATGAAAACCGGATGATACTTAAGAGAGAAGTTGATTCTTGGCTTAGGAGGTTGAAAAGAGTTAAAAGAAGGCTAACACTCTTATTCATACATGAGACTGTACGGTTGGGATGGGTGTACGGCCGTACACCCATGTGTGCGGCCGCACACACCTCATGAAGGGGTGTTTAGCTCATTTGAAAGGTGTTGAACAAAAATACACTCATCCCTAGCCCCATACCTTGCTTATCCTAGGCTTAGAACACTCAAATTGACTCTAAACAATGCTAGAATACAGCAAAAACGAGTCTGACCTTGAT